TTGGGGGGGAAAAAGGGAGTTTGGGGTGAAAAACGGGGGTTTGGGGGGGAAAATGGGGGTTTGGGGGGAAATAGGGGGTTTGGGGGGGAAATAGGGGTATTGGGGGAAAAAAGGGGATTTGGGGCAATAAAGAGGGTTTTGGGGTGGAAAAAGGGGAGTTTGGGGTGGAAGAAAGGGATTTGGAGGTGAAAAAAGGGGATTTGGGGAGGCTGGAAAAGGTTTGGGGGAGATGTGAGGGGGTTTGGGGGGGAATTGGGGGTTTGAGGGGATTTGAGGTGGGATTTTGGGGCTTTGAGAAGTTGGGAGGGGATTTGGGGTGGGATTTATGAGTGGGAGGAGAATTTGGGGGGCTCAGGGTGGAATGTGAGGGGGTTTTGGGGGATTTGAGGCGATTTGGGGTCAGCCTGGGAGTGCCGGCCCTCACCAGCTGCTCCCGGTACGGGAATTCCTTGCGCCCGTCGGCTCCATCCCGGTAAAACTCCTGAAAAAATCGCTTCGCCTTCTCTGAGGGGAAAGCAGACACCGAGAGGGGAGGGTCAGACACGGGGGAAGGGTCGCGATATCGCGGCAATGTCCTGATAATCGGGGGGGGTCCCGATAACGGATCAATAACGGGTCAATAACGGAGACCCCGCGCCCCCCGCTGGCCCCAAACCTTTCTCGCTGTCGTAGTCGCGCGGGGCCATGGCGGCGCCGCTCCTGTCGCGGTTTCCTGTCGCGATATTCCCCTCACGATCGCGATTTTCCCCTCACGGCCGCTCCCCCCTTTTCCCGCCACTGCCTTCCCCTCACGGCGAGTGGCGCGAAAAACCGGCACCCACGTGACGGCCGAAGGGCCAATCAAAACGCAGGGGCCGCCTTCCGCTTGTCGACAGAGCCGGCCAATCACTGCAGAGGACGCGCGGAAGAGGGGAAAGATCAGCCAATAGGAAGGCACGGCGGTGCCCACGTGCGGATAGGCCACGCCCTCATTGGGCGGGGCCGCGCGCGCGGCGGCGGCGGGAACCGGCCCGGAGGTTCGGGGGGCTCGGGAGGGGCTTGGCCACGCCCCCTCTTAAAGGGGCCGCGTCGCTTTTTGGGAGGATTTTGGGGTTTTTTT